TGTTGATTGGCATTCGCTAGAGCCAACTGTCTTATTATCTCCTCCATGCTGGCCTTTAGTTACCACGACTGCCTGCGGTCCTCCACCATATGTAACAGGGTTAGCTCAGCAGCGGGTGTGTGTGACCCCCTGGAAGGGTGCACAACACAAAAAAAAAAAAACCAGGCACAGCACAACCACAGTGGAGGTGAAAAACAAACAGGTGCAATTTATGTACAATATTTACAAAAAGGCAAACCAAAAAGAAACATCAAAATAAATCCTGGCCAACTCGGCTACTTACTGCAACAACCACGTTTCCCTAGCTACCCACTAGGTACAGCCTGCTGCTATACCTAGTTGCTAGTACTGGAGGCCGGCCACACAGGCTTTGGTCTCTCTGCACACAGATAAGATGTCAACTCCCCAGACAGTTCAGGCACACATCTGGTTCCAGGTTGGAGAAACTCCCTAAGCACTCTGGGAAGTTTTATACAGGTGTTAATGAGCCCACTACCTTCAGCTGGGCTCATTACCCCAGTGCTGAAGGACTCAGCACTTCCCTCTAGTGGAACAAATCCCCATAAAGCCTGAACCTCGGACAAATGTATCGTCCATCCAGGACGCAACCAGGTGATTTCACCTGCCTACTGTCACACATGTGACAAGCTGTGACCAATCACAGCTCACACAGTAGTTCTCAATGGCTGCAAGAATGCAGAGAGCAGGATAAATGATTGCTTTTACAGCCTTTAATGGGTGTAAAAGCAATCACTGTAAAAAAAAAAAAAAAATCTTCATCACCCCCCACAAGTAGTACAGTGTCACCATGGTGACACTGTACTGCTAGGGTGACAGCATGTAAAAAAAAACAAATAATATAAAAAAAAATTTTTTTAAAAGTTTGAAAATTATCATTTTTGGTTATAAACTAATTTGGGTTATTTTTTTTTTTTTTTTTTTACTAAACAAATAACGGAATAAATTTTGGGCCAAGATTTACGGTGAAAAAAATTTATTTGCAAAATTTTATAAGAAATTTTCAAAAAAATTTTTGGACGGTTTCATTTACATAGCAAAAAAAAATAAAAATCCCAGTGGTGAATAAATACCACCAAAAATAAAGCTTTATCTGTCTCTCACAAAAATGCTAAAAAATCCATATGGGTACAGTGTTGCATGACCGCGCAATTGTCATTCAAAGTGTGATGGCGCTGAAAGCTGAAAAATTGGCCTGGACAGGGAGGGGGGAAAAGTGTCCGGACCGGAAGAGGGGGAAAGTGTCCGGACCGGAAGGGGGGGAAAGTGTCCGGGCCAGAAGGGGGGGGAAAGTGACCGGAAGGGGGGGAACCGAAAGTGTCCAGACCGGAAGGGGGGTGAAAGTGTCCGAACAGGAAGGGGTTAATAGCAAAAAGTCAAAAATATTGGTTTTTTTTCTCAGAATTGTCAGTTTCTTGTTTATAGTGCAAAAAATAAAAAACGCACAGGCGGTCAGATACCACCAAAGCTCAATTCATGGAAAAATACAGGACGTAAATGTCATTTGGGTGCGGCGTTGTATGACCGCGCAATTGTTCGTTAAAAGTAACGCAGCGCCGTAACACAACAGATGTCCTGGGCAGGAAGGGGATCCTCTGGAGGGGGAGGAGTTAAGGTCACATTGGTTGCTGTGATACAGCGAATGTTTGGCGTTTATATTAGTTTGTGGGCGATGTGTAGATGTGTGTAAAAGTGGGCCCGCTCAGGCGGGATCTATAGTTCAGGGATCAGCAGCACACTTCTATTACATGACATTACAGCAAACATGGATTCCCCACGCAGGGGGTCTTCTCCAACATACAATAACCAACAATGCTACCCCACCTGGCTACACTTCAGCAGCTCCGCCTCATGTAGATGTAACACCCGGAGATCTCAGAGAGGACTTCACACCCCACAGCTGCCATTCTCCTCCCCTCAGCCTGGAAAAGGCGGGAACACAGAGCAGGTCTGCCTGAGGGAAAGCTGGAAGGAACAGGACAGCCAATCACAGGAGAGGAGCTGAGAGGCGGGAACACATGAGGGAACTGCAGGGAACTGTGAGGTGACAGGACAGCCAATCACAGGAGAGGAGCTGAGAGGCAGGAACACGAGGGAACTGTGAGTGTGACAGGACAGCCAATCACAGGAGAGGAGCTGAGAGGTGGGAAACACATGAGGGAACTGCTGGGAACCATGAGGGGAGGGACCATAATGGCTCAGCCAATCACAGGACAGGAGCTGAGAAGAGAAAAAACACATGAAGGAAACTACTTGGAACTGTGTGGTGAGTGACAGGACTGCTCAGCCAATCACAGGAGAGGAACTGAGAGGCACATTGAGAGAACTATTGAGAACTGTGAGGTGAGTGACATGAGGACTCATCCAATCACAGTGGAAGTAGCTGAGAGGAGGGAACACTTGAGAAAACTGCTGGGAACATGAGGGGAGGGACAGGACTGCTCAGCCAATCACAGGAGAGGAGAGGTGGGAGCTGCTGGGAAACTGTGAGGGGAGGGACAGGACTGTTCAACTAATGACAGGAGAGGAGCTGAGAGGCGGGAACACATGAGGGAACTGTGAGGTGAGTGGCAGGACTGCTCAAACAATGACAAGATAGGAGCTGAGAGGCGGGAACACTTGAAGGGACAGCTGTGAGTGGGTGGGTGACAGGTCTCCTCAGCCAATCACAGGTGAGGAGGTGGGAACACCTGAAGGGACTGCTGGAACTGTGAGGTGAGTGACAAGCTTCCCTCAGCCAATTACCACAGAGCAGATGGGAGGGGGAACAATTGAGGTTATAAATATAAGAGGGTGATGGAGAGTATCTGGGAGGTGGGAACACAGCTGTGAGGGGACAAGCTCCCTCAGCCAATCACAGAAGAATAGCTGGGAGGCAGGGAACACAGCTGTGAGGGGACAAGCGTCTCCGCCAATCACAGGAGAATCTCTGGGAGGTGGGAAAACACAGCAGGGGACAAGCTCTGCCAATCACAGGAGAGACTATCTGGGAGGTGGGAACACAGCTGAGAGTACAAGCTCTCTCAGCCAATCACAGGGACTGGGAGTGGGAACACAGCTGTGAGGGGACAAGCTCTCTCAGCCAATCACAGGAGAGTATCTGGGAGGTGGGAACACAGCTGTGAGGGGACAAGCTGAGCCAATCACAGGACTATCTGGGAGGTGGGAACACAGCTGTGAGGGGACAATTTCTCACAGCCAGAAGAGTAGTGTGAGGCAGGGCACAACTAAAGGGAGTGACAGGTCTCTTCAGCCAATTTAGGAGAGAATCTGGGAGGCGGGAACACCTGAGGTAACTCAAGCTCTCCCAGCCAATTACCAAAATGTAGGGAGTTGTGATGGCTGTGAGGTAGTGACAGGTTTCCTTTCAGAATCACAGGAGAGGTAACTGCTGTGAGGAGGCAAGCTCTCCCAGCCAACACCAATGAATGTAACAGTTGTGACAAGCTCTCCTCAGCCAATCGCAGGAGAGGAACTAGGAGACTGAAACATCTGTGAGGTAAGTGACAGACTCTTTCAGTCAATCACAGGAGAGTATTTGGGAGGTGGGAACACCTGAGGTAACAGGTGACAAGCTCTCTCAGCCAATCACAGGAGAGTATTTGGGAGGGCGGGAACACCTGAGGTAGCAGGTGACAAACTCTCTCAGCCAATCACAGGAGAGTATTTGGGAGGCGGGAACACCTGGGGTAACAGGTGACAAGCTCTCCCAGCCAATTGCTGGAGAGGAGATGGGAGGCGGGGAAGCTCCAAAGATAATGGCGTGTCTCCACTCAGCCAATCACAGGAGAGGAGCTGGAAGGTTCAAACGGCCTATGAGATGATTGACAAACTGTCTCAGCCAATTATAGGACAGGAGCAGGGAGGCAGGACAGCTGTGATGGGAGTGACAGGTCTCCTCAGCCAATCACAGGGGAGAAGCTGGAAGACCTAAAGTAACAGCCGTGAGTTGAGTGGCCAACTCTCCCAGCCAATCACAGGAGCGTGTCTGGAGGTGGGGACATCTGATTGGACAGCTGTGAGGGGTGGCAGGTCTGGTGTAGAGCATGTCCGTTGTGAAGGGCTCTCTTGGGCTCAGGTGGTCCCTGGGGGGAGGAGTCAGCCTATTTTGGTCCCCCCATTTAATAGAAGTCACATGACATCCATTGTACTGGATTTATAATGAGGGGAAAGCTGCTTTATCTGTGACCTGGAACACCAGGCGGGTGGAATAGATTTATTACTAGACGAGGAATTGTCCCGCCCCGAGGGACTGACACAGGACAGGATTATTCCAGAGATGATTGGGGGATGGAGGACATAAAACCAATGACACGGAATAGAATCTCAGGAGATGGACCTCGGCTGCTTCTATCTGATTGTCATCTGCAGGACTGGAGCTTCCTCATAGATGGCCGTCTGTTCTTTATTACAGCTGATTGCTGGGAGGTCAAATCAAACTGCATTGTGTGCGATGGCCAGTCCTGACCAGACAGCAGCAGCATGGTCCCCCAGACAGTCCTTATTTCCTGCCTGGAATGTTGTCAGATGGGATTCTTCTTTCAAAGGTCTCAGGTGAGCTACTTCTCCCTCTTCAGATGGATTCCTAAATTGGAGGTCTTGCCCGGAGCTCCCCTTTAATCTTTAGCACTGACTGCACTGAGCCCCTGACCCCGGCGGAGGTGGGTATTGTGACGGAACGCGGCATCCGAAACCTGCCCTTCTCACCAACTCGCACCGCGCTGTCACTTGTGTAACAATGTCACTCTCAGCTGCACCCTGCAGAAAGATTCTCCAGCTCGCGGGGATATCGACCACAATCTGTGCCAGCAGACTGAGGGAATGGGGGTATTACACATTTAAGTGACTCTTCACACTGCCGACACCTCCGGGGATTTTTACAGAGAAGGAGGAAACTTCACTATCCCAGCAACAACACTATTCCAGGGATTTAGCAGAGAGCGTATTACACACACTGAAACTTCACAGACATCCCATATCAGAGGATTAACACATATAAGAACACTCTTCCAGGGATATCGGAGGAGCGTCTACACACACAGGAACACTCTTCCAGGGACAGGGATATCAGAGGATTATTACACACAGGAACACTCTTCTGGGACAGGGATATCAGAGGATTATTACACACAGGAACACTCTTCCAGGGACAGGGATATCGGAGGATTATATACACACAGGAACACTCTTCCAGGGACAGGGATATCAGAGGATTATATTACACACAGGAACACTCTTCCAGGGACAGGGATATCAGAGGGATTATTACACACAGGAACCTCTTCCAGGGACAGGGATATCAGAGGATTATTACATACAGGAACACTCTTCCAGGGACAGGGATATCAGAGGATTATTACACACAGGAACACTCTTCCAGGGACAGGGATATCAGAGGATTATTATATACAGGAACACTCTTCCAGGGACAGGGAGATATCAGAGGATTATTACACACAGGAACACTCTTCCAGGGACAGGGATATCAGAGGATTATTACACACAGGAGCACTCTTCCAGGGACAGGGATATCAGAGGATTATTACACACAGGAACACTCTTCCAGGGACAGGGATATCGGAGGATTATTACACACAGGAGCACTCTTCCAGGGACAGGGATATCGGAGGATTATTACACACAGGAACACTCTTCCAGGGACAGGGATATCGGAGGATTATTACACACAGGAGCACTCTTCCAGGGACAGGGATCATCGGAGGATTATTACACACAGGAACACTCTTCCAGGGACAGGCATATCAGAGGATTATTACACACAAATTCCAACACATCCTCCCATCCCCCCACCCTCAACCAGGGTTCCTTCAGGGGGGTTCCTTGAGCAGTGATAGATCCTCTTTATGGAGAGATCTGGAGTCTATTAGGCCCATTCACACCTGAGAAATTTGTAGCTCGAAGGGAGAAAAAAATCAATATCACTCCATGGAGACGGTTCACATCTCCACTCCGAGTCGCCTGAAGCTCAAAACAGCTTTGGAGTTGCTTTTGTAGCTCCATTTGGGCAGATTGATGTGTTTTTGGCGCATTTTCATTCCCATAGCAATACATGGAAACGCGCAAATCGCGCGTTATTTATGTGCTTTTGCGTGTTTTGTCGCGTTACCAAGAGCGTTTTCTGGCCTTTCAGAACATGGCAGCAATTGGTGTCACAGATGAAATTTTTGTGTTGGTTAATACAAAAACGCCAAAACTCAAACAGCCCAAAAACGCCTGAACAAATCGTGCATAAATTTTGCAGAGGTGCAACAAAACATGCAAAAAAAAATGCACAAAATACGCTACACTTACATGTGTGAATGGGGCCTTAGACCCCAGATCTGTCCTCTGCCCTTCAAAACATCTGACCATATCAAGATCGGTTTTATCTGATCTTGGAGCATGGGTGGGGGGTCACCATTTTGACCACTGAAGCTACACCCATAAAAAAGGATATGATTTCTGGACTGCTGAGGTGTATGTCAGTCCAGTTGTTCTGAATAGACTGCACAACACAGCGCACATTAACGTGGAAAAATTAGCATGCTTTACACGTGTCTCAGCGGTCAGATGTGTCCGATCCTCATACTTTACCATTTTGGGGAGCATTTCTATACCAGCACACCCCGAGGGGGGGGGGGGGATACCGCACTCTTGGGGAGTCATCCAGACTCAGACTGGGACTAAAAATAGGCCCGGGCATTTTGGATGGAGCAGCCCCTAGCCCGGGGATCCTTTCCTTGGAGCCCGGTGGTGGAACGCCAGGGCCCGGTCACAAGAGTGACTTTTGCAACCCTGGTAGTTCCGCCACTAGTGTCAGGTTTTTATTTTTATTTAATTTTTTACAATTTTATATTTTATTATTTTTTTACATTTGTTTTGAAAGAGGGAGAGGGAAGGAGAGAGAGAAAGAAGAGAAACCGGAGACAGAGAAAGAGAAGGGGGGAGAGAAGACACAAGGCTGTCAGGAATGTGGGCGGGGCAGACAGAAGGAGAGGGCGGGAGGAGGAGGGGCAGCTTTCTCTCTCCTCCCCATCTGTGGGGGGAGGGGGGAATTTGGTGGCGGTGCTGCAGGATGGAGGGGGGGCGGCCGTAGTTGTCCACTGACAGTCGTCCAACCCCCCCCCCCCCAAACAGACAGGAGAGGAGAGAGCTTCCCCTCCTCTTCCCACCTCTCTCTTCCTGTGTCTGCCCCACCCACACTCTCTCCACCAGCCTGTGTCTTCTCTCTCTCTCTCTCTCTCTCTCTCTCTCCTCCTATCTTTCTTTACTTTCACTGTTTCTTTCTTTTTGTCTCTGTCTCCTGTTTCTCTCCCTTCCCTCCTTCTCTTCCTCCCCTTCCCTCCTTCTCTTCCTCCCCTTCCCCCTCCTTCCTTCCTTCCTTCCTTCTCTCCCCTTCTCTTCCTCCCTCTCTCCTTCTCTTCCTCCCTCCCTCCTTCTCTTCCTCCCCCTCCTTCTCTTCCTCCCTCCCTCCCTTCCTTCCTTCTTTCTCTCCTCCTTCCTTCCTTCTCTCTCTCCCTCCTTCCTTCCCTTCTCTCTCCCTCCTTCCTTCCTTCTCCTCTCCCTCCTTCCTTCCTTCTCTCTCTCCCCCTCCTTCCTTCCTTCTCTTCTTCCTCCTTCCTTCTTTCTCTCCTACAAAACAAATAATAAAAATACAATAGAAAATTGTACAAAATTGAATAACAACGTACTGACACTAATGACAGAACTACCAGGGTCGCTCCTGTGATCGGGCCCTGGCGTTCTGCTACTGGGCTTTGAGGAAAATGAAAGGGTCCCCTGGCTTGGGGCTGCTCAGTCCAAAATGCCCGGGCTTATTTTTGTCCCAGTCTGGGCCTGCCTCTAACCCCCTTTTATAGTGCCATTAAGAATTCATGGCAGCACAAGTTTGATGTGCATTTTGGCATGTTTTTATTTTATTTCTGAGAACGCAAAAGTGTGAATGCGGCCTGAGTCAGCAGGCTTCCTCCATCCACTACACTGCATGGATGGATAAGCCCCCTCTGCTGGACTATTGCATGGATGGCACATTTGTAGATCACACAACAGTGATATGATCTGTGAAAATAATGTGTGGCAATGATAGGAAAAGACTCCTTCATCTGTGGCCTCCCTCATGTATAGGGGCTCATTCACTGGTGAATTCCCTCATATATAGGGGCCCAGCACCGGCAATCGTCCTCCCTCCCTAGCGGCACATTCACAGTCTGGGAGAAGAGGAAGCCATCCTCCCTCCCCAACAGCCAGTCGGAGTGGAAGATGTGGGATCCTCAGCAGAAGTGCTGGCATCAGGCCAGTGTGTTACCAACCTCTGCCCAGCACCTTCAGCGGCTCCATGGATCCACGGAGAGGAGATAGTGAACCTCTATCCCCCATCACCAGCTCCAAAGACTGGGGATTTAATAGACTTCTGCTGAGGAGGAACAACCCAGTGAACCTCAAGAAGAAGAGCTGGTATCAGAGCAGAACTTCCAACCTCTCCCCAGTGACAGGCTCGAAGCTCGAATTCCCAGCTGAAGCACTGGCAAGTGGACAGAGTCCAAGACCTCTGCCCCACAGCAGTTCTGGTGGCTCAGGGAGAGAAGGTGGCAGTTCTTCTTCCCTAACGGCAGTGTAGGGACTCGGGAGCGAAGGATGTCGTCCTCGTTGCACAGCAGGAGTCCAGAAGAGGGAGCAACCGGCTCATCTCCCCAGAGGCAATACGATAACCTGGGAGAAGAGAAATCTGTCTTCCCTCCCCAGCAAGGATCCATGCACCTGGAAGACAGTACCAAAGAAATGTCATCTCAGCAGCCGGATGAGATGGAGCAGCCAGCTCATCTCCCCAGTGGCACTTCAAGAACCCAGGAGAGGAGAAAGCTGTCTTCACTCCCCAGTGGAAGATCCACAGTCCAGGAGAGGAGGTGATGGGTCCTCCCTCCCCATTGGCAGATCCACAGTCTAGGAGCGAAGGAAGTTGTCCTCCCTCCACAACAGTCAGCCAGAGTGAAGGATGTGGAGTCCCCAGCTGAATCGCTGGCAACAGGGCAGAGCTTTACTGACCTGTGCCTAGCACCTCGTGTCTTCACAGCTCCAGGGAGTCAGGGCAGGGCAGCCCTCTCCCCAGCAGCAGATCAAGCCCTGGAAAGGTAAGGACCTCCCAGTTGAACCACTGGCAGCCAGACAGAGGGTCCACGACTTCTGCTCCACACCTACCGACGGCAACTCTTCCCTGTGGCCAAGAATGGAGATTATGTGGACCAACTATGTGGGTTCACTCTGCCCGACTAACACATGTCCAGACTAGGTGGAGGTCTGGGACCTAGTTAGTCTACCTTTTGAGGGTGAGAAATGTGATAGACCCAACCGGGACAGGGGACTAGGGGCTTGCCTTCTACCAACTGATTATGGCCCATGGAGGAGGCCAGGCATTTTCTCTGCTTCTCCTGGTCAGAGCACGGAGGAGAGCTCAGTTCAGCCTGTGATGGAGAGAACAGATCATTCTCTAATGATGGACAACAACATGGTGAACATTGAGAGCGAGGCTTGCATTAATTCTCTGCATAAAGACAATAAAGCTTCCTTCTGGAGGGGATGGAAAGGTATAATATTAATCTTGGACAGGTTAATGGTCAGAGGAAATATGGTGGCCTTCCTGCAGACTGGGTAGGAGAAGCGCCTTCATTTGGGACAGAAATATTTATCAACAATCTCCCTCAATAAATCTAAGATAAATTAATTGCACTTTTTCAGACTGCTGAAACACTGTATGAGTTTTGTCCTTTGATGACTTTTTTTAGTGGACAGATTACTCAAGTGAAAGCCAAATACCTGAAAGTCAACATGTGTAATGTACTTTGTGTATCCAGGGCTGTGGACTTCTTGCTGGACTGTCTGGGGTGGGCTCCCTGAATAAATCAAAGCTGGTCTGGGTTCCTGACTGTTGATTAGCTTACTTTTTAATTAGGTTACTGTTAGCTGTTCATTAGATGTACTGATGATATTACTGTTTAAAGTTTGCATTGTTTAGGATAATGTGATCAAGCTCTTGTCTGATTTTGTGTGGTATAAATGATGCGTGAATTTTTTATAATTAACAGTTCCTGTTTGCACCTAAGCTGGAGTCGTCTAGTTCTTGGGTGCAATTCCCAGCTATAATACCTTGTTCCTGTGCTGCAGCAGTGAGGAAGCAGCTCTTTGGTGGAGGCACCCAGTCGGGGTGCCTGATGGTTCCTCACAGCCGTCATCTTTGCATCTATTTGATCTATACAATGGTGCTGCATGTTTGCAGTTAGGACACCAGCCATTTGCTGGCTTGACAGTTCAATTAAGAGCACAAGCTGCTGGTACAGTTCTCATTCAGG